CTATTAATTTCTTTAATTTTGTTAATCTATTTTATATTAGTTTGTAATATGATATCTCCTCTTCTACTCAGATTTATGGCGAAATCATGCGTTTAACGTACGATTACGCTGTATTCCTTGTCTCCTAGCTACGTTATCTTAGTCCCTTTCCATGTCAGTAGTTTAAACGTTTATATCGCTCGCGATGAACTTACGTAAACGCGGTGACCTTACGTAATCTTACGTAGCAACGTAAGATTACGTTATCACGTAGAGCGAGTTGCTGCGTCTTTCCTTAGACGAGCTCTGTATGTCTTGTATCGATTGCGACCAGTACTGTAGTCATGAACGGAATGAAGCATTTTTCCATAGAAGGCACTGTAACTGAAAAATATAATCAATCAATCGAGTTTTGTCATTATTTCTAGCTAAGCGTGTCTTTGTACGTAGACGTACGTAGACGTACGTAGCGTAAGATAGAAGGACTAGAGCAGAAAAGCAACAAAGGAAGAGTGTTTGGTTCCACAATATTCTGTCGTTTCACAACCTTATTTGATAGTGCAGGATGTAAAGATTGAACTTGAAGTCCTTCAAACATTCTATCAAATATTTTTGTCTTCTCGAGTTTGATGTGTGGTTTTTGAAGTCGTTTATTCATTAATTGGTAAGACTGTTTAATAATCCAAAGATGCCTGTATTTTTAAATGTTGATTGAGTCGATGTGCATTTGATTTTATTCTAAATCGCCGAAACTTCAAACCAAACATGCTTGCTTCCTAACTTGCGCATGCGCTTTCAGCTAATATACAAAATGTGCTGTGGATGCCAACAGATTTCACTTACTTGTTCTTAGGCCCTTTAACTGTCACCCGTCGAACATAAAGCCCCAGGTTTCCCGCGTACTTAAGAACAATTGACCCCAGCTCTCCTGGTTGAATGGTTGTTGCTATAGTGACATTCATCTCCTTCATGTAGTAAGTGACTTTGGTACTGAGGGAGGAGAGGGATAAAATTTAGAGTCAAATTTGCAAGGGATGGTTTATGGGTTGTTTTTATCACAGTTCCCTGCGGCATCTTGAAAGGTAGCTATGCCTGCGAAACGACCAGTGAGTTTGTAGTGATTAGTACCCAGCAGAGCAATATAGGCTTCTCTAGGATATCACGAGAACTGAGAGACTTTAAAGGCCCAGTGTGCACCATTATGCTTTGGGGCCCTCGAGCGTCCATTATCAGTTTACCGAAAGTCTATAAATACTCCAGTTTCGAATTCTCCAATGCTCTGTGTTAGCCTCATTTGTGCGCAAAATATTCCTTATTGTGAGCGTAAAAGTGTGAGATTTCAAATCAAATTTATTGTCTTTCTTCACAAATTCCATGCGGTTTTTCGAGCTATCAGTGAAACAAAAGAATNCAAAAAGTGGAACAGCAACTTGTAAGTCCTTTAAAGTCACATGATAAACTAAGAAATCGACTGGGGAAAAAAAAGAAACGAGTTAAACAAGATAAACCGGTTTAAGGTGAAACTAACCTATATTCCATCATTGACTCACCTCCACAAAAAGGCTCGTGTTTCTTAGTAACCAAGTAGTACTTCCTTGGTATGTCACCGCGGTAATACTGGTCAGCGTCATATCCCATCACGGCACATGCGCCTTGACATTTATAACATCTGAGTTTTGAAAATTCCTGCCAACTTCTACATCTATATGCTTTACGAGGACATTTGTTGTTTATCGAGTCTGTAAAAAAGTTGATGACTTTCATGTGGTCGCAAGCAAATTGCCAATGGATGGGGAACTTTGATTTCTTTTTGAAGCCAAGTACTCCAAGAACGTTTGATAGCAGTCTGTCGGGACGAAAATCTGGAAAGAAACAAAATGATCAATATAACAAATGTCATTAGCTTGTTAAGGCCCGTTTATACTTGCGATTTTTGCAGAGCGATTCTCGAGGTTATTGTCGTGCGACCATCGCCTGAGTTTCGAATATGCTTGAAAATTGATTTTCCATCACCGCAACAATCGCAGGGCTGTTTAACGTACGATTTTAGTTGCGCGATATCAAAGCAGCGATTATCGCGCTACAAAAATTGCATGGTAAACGGGCCTTAAGAGGGCAATGGTTATCATCCGATGGATGTTTGTCTTGGAGGACATTTTGAAAATCTTTCCTATGATCTCTGTCTTCGGCCGGCTTCAACTCTAATCAATGACTCTAAATTTATTTTAAGTCTTATTATTTAGAGCGGTGGAAAATTGCGGGTTCCTCTTTTACTAATTTATTACGTTTCCTGTGTTGCCTGACCCGGGGAATTGTGGTTTGGGTTATTTATGGCACGTAAGAAGCGCTCTAGCACATACGTTGGAGCCGAGCGTGTTTTGAGCGGTTTGAAGTATACGTTAGGACATCGAGATTCAAGTACGAGTTCAACACTGTACTGAATAAAGGAAAAGAGTTTATAATCATAAAGTCGAATATGCAAATATAATTTCAGTTGACTTAGATAAGACTATAGTAAGTGGTTAATGTTTCTTTGCAAGAACCAATTATTTGTGCTGACTACCTGTAAAGTGTCCCGAAGTCACACAGCCAGGCTGGTTATCGCCACCGTTTGGATAGAAGTCCACGTGACCACATGGTCGAGCTAGTCCCAGTCCTCCTACTCCTGTATCTGTGTGTATCACGTCGACAAACTTGGCATCACTTGGGTCCAGTCTACTTCTTGTGTCATTGTGATCAAAACTTGGTCTGGCTGGATCCAATCCTTTCGTTTTCAA